GATTTATATAGAATAAGATAAAAATGAAGGGTGACTTCAGACCTTTGTACAGTGCACTGCATGAATGACTAAGGGCAAAGTTTATGAACCATATGGATTATTTCGCTCTCCTCACATACTTTAAAATGAAAACCTAGAAGACTTGCAAATAAAATGATMAGATGTTTGACTATAAATGTCACTGTGACTTTCAGCAACACTTGTGACTCCACTCACACACAAGTCGCTCCTCAGCTGTCCGTACTGCGTTGACACCCAAAAGCCCCTCCTGTCGTCCAAAGTGATGAAGGGCTCCTCCGGGTACCTGGTTCGGTACTTCTTCAGGAAGCCCCCCTCGAAGTCCGCCAGAACCCCGTCCATGTCAACTAGAACTCGCAGTCTCTTACCCGAGGAGGACGACATGTTTATGCAAATCCTCTTAAACGTGTCAGGGAGCAAAGTTTGCCCTCTTCCGAGTAGGCGTGATGTGCTGAACCGTAACATCGTCGGTCCTCCTCGGCTGAACGTGCAGCGGGGACGGTCACTGGTCTCTCCGAATGGTGACAACAAAAAAGTCGACAAAGTCCGCATGGGAATCGAGAATTTCCCAAAAGACTCGACAGTCAAAGTTGACGTTGTTATTGTTGATTTTGTTGTGTTCAGAGTTGTGTTTTACTGTTAGCTTAACTTCATCTCTGGGCGTTTTAGCGACACAGCTGAGCTAACTGTCGGTGGCTAGGCTAGCCGCGGATCAACAGCGGCAGGAGCAGGCAGCTTAAATGACATTTCCGTTCATCTGCTGTACCTGACAGCAATGTGACAGCTGGCCACCAGCTTAAACTATTCATCCCACAGCAGCTGTAACAGTGCTGTTGAGAAACAATGAATGAAACATCTGGTTGGACTAGCAAAAAGAGAAGTGTTCTGCTGAGGACAAACTGTACTGTGTAAACCTGCTTCTCACAAAGATGCTATATACAAACAAGATGGTTCACATCGGAGCTTGTCTTTAAGAGTATGATTTTACAGCCAGTGGTATGCARTTTATAGTAATTGAATAGTAAAGACTAAAAACAATTCAACACCAATATAGCACGTTAAAGGGTTTTTTTGGTGGGGTGGGGGGGGGTACACGCGCTAGCTAAGAAAACCGCAGATATTACCTCGTACAAAACAAAGTGACAACAAAAAGATCCGAAAWTTTTTTTTAGCTTTAATGCACCTTTATATTTTTATTATTTGTATTAGATAAAAATTATCTCAAGAACAGACACTAGGTGCAACAGCTAAAAAAGTGTTACTTATCTAGGTTTTTAGAATACTTGCGTCTTTGATGAGACTTAGTTGATATTTTAAAAAGTGTTTGACAGGAGCTCTTACATCAGAAAAGATCTTTGTTAATAAAGGTTCCATAATTTATAGTTTTTGTTAAAAAGCTGCACTGCGGTATTAATGAATTTCTGTAGCACAGTATTAAACTGAGGCGCTGAACATTTTCAAACATTGGCTAAACAATGAAATAATTATAAACTGGGCTGACAATTTTTAATAGGAAGTGTAATTTGTGCAAGTGGCCCTTTAAGAATCAAAATGACGGTTCGTAAATCTCGTTGCAGGCGGCTCTGTTCTTCCGATCTCGCGATAACGTCACATCAGTGGCGGCTGAGTGGCCCCCTGTCTCAGTCCGGACCGAGTTGTTTCTGACGTTTGAATGAAAAACAGTGTAAATTACATCCACTTTGGACCCAGGAAATAATGGCTTCAGCCTTGGAGCAGTTTGTGAACAATGTGCGGCAGCTCTCCGCTCAAGGTAGGATTGCTGAACTCATCAGAATGAGAAGTCTTAGCTAGTTAGCTAGCATATGCTACCCAATGCCTTGCCGATAGCTAGGCAGCCAAACTGGCCAGAGCCCTCTTTTTTCCTTTATCATGTAAACAGACTGCAAAAATGACTTTGTAAGACCACAAGAGTTCTGTAAACTATAATCAGAGGATGCGTTGCTACACAGGGAGTCTGAGGATACGATCAAACAACATAACCCATTATACGAAATATCAAAATTATACTTTTTATTTTTGATCTGGAAAATAATTTCTGGGTTCTGCCTACCGGTAGTCCCGCCCAAGCCTCACCTGATTGGTTAGAGAACCAAAATCTCAAGTTTTATTGGCTCAAAGTCCTCTGTCAGTCCTTTTAGCTTTACTACTTGTGCGAGGCCTTGACAGGGCATTAGATCGACCGCATTATACTGAAATATTTTACAGCCCGTTGTTTATAAACAATAAGTCCCTTGGTTTTCTCTATTTATGAAGAACACMTTCTTAATGTGAATGAATAGATAACCAGTAAATTTATCTTTTGTTTTTCGGAGAGGAAATTTCATATATCAACATGAGCAAACTTGAAATAGAAAGTAATGATCGGTTCTTTATTATTGTGTTTGGAGTTTCATCATTTTTCTACTTATGTGAATATTATTTTTGTATAATGCCTTTTAAAACCCGGTTATAACATGTATTTCAAACCTAACACTTTGCCATAATTAATGTAACTACTGCTCAGTATTAAAACTAAGTACTTTCAACATTAGGGGGCACAGTTTCTAAGTTTCTAAATATCTAAATGACAAGYAAAGTGTCCAGAGTGGATCACCTTTATCATTTTTGTTTTGTCGTTCACCTCACCATTTGCCTCACAGGTCAGATGACTCAGCTGTGTGAGCTGATCAACAAGAGTGGGGAGCTGCTGGCTAAAAATCTGTCCCACCTGGACACAGTGCTGGGGGCTTTGGACATCCAAGAGCACTCCCTTGGTGTGCTGGCTGTGCTGTAA